CATGCCTACCATGGTGTTTTTGTACAGACAGCACTTCAGACAGCAAGTATGCTGTAGTCGGCAATCATTCGTTTTGGTACAGAGTGGGACAGGTAGGGGGTGATGTTGCTGTAGTCGAACGGTGAGACGGACGTGTAGTTCAGTTTTGGGCACGCGTACGGTGCTGCAGGGATTATATATAGGTGTAGTAGTACCTCTTCGGGCTCTTGGATACCTTTTTCTTGCTACGTGTGCGTGTTCTTTAGATCCTCAGATGGCTCTAGCACTTTCGTGACCACGGGCTGAGAGTCTTTGCTAGATTTTGGCATTTAGCAACTGGCATACGGTTTAATGTGAAGTCAACAACAACAACATACCACATCATTATCAGCTCGGCCGCCCTTGTTTGTATGCATTCTTGTGCTTGACCCTACAACTACGAGACTCGGCGGATGCTTGCCATTGTCGGTCTTATGCGCTACTCCACCAAATGCAAAGCAGAGGGTTCGCCATGCGCACCAGGGCAATGAAGAGGCGGTTCATGTTTCAGTACCTGGTGTGCCTAGTGGTGACTCCCTCCCGGAGCATGGTGCGAAGCGCAGAGCCGCCGATGGCACAACGAACCCATGGCAGAAACTCGCCGCCAGGGACACGACAATCATGAGGAGCTTCATCGACAGAGTAGAGAGAGCGAACGCGAGCGTGAAGAAGATGTCCGTGGGAGCGGTGTGTGTTGCAATGGTTTATTGTATTGTGATATACCATGAGCTGTATACCATTGGTGTGTTGCGGTTGGGCAAAGCAGGGTCTTCAGATGGTTCGTGGGGCGTTTTCCAACGGAACCGAGTACCAACCGTTGCTCGGGTTGGTTTGGAGTGCTCGAGCGCTCCAGCGCTCGAGTGCTGTGTGCTGTGTGTAACATCTGATAGACAGCGCAGCCTACACTTGACTGGAACGGTGCTACTGCCTAGGAAAAGCACGACAAACACATCGCATGCCATTGTGTAAGTGCTGAACCACTGACGAACCACACACCACACTGCGAACGAAAGCAAGGGAGGGCCAGGGCGTAGGGGTTCCGGAATACGAGAGTGTGGGCCGTGGGCCGCTCCCGCGCGGAACAGCGGAGAGACTAGCAACACACCTGACACCAGCGGAAGGAGCGTGCTTGGAGTGCTAGAATGACTCACCCACGGGTGCTACGACATAGAGGAGCTGTCAAGGCTTCTCTGGCGGTGCTGGCTGTTCTTCTAATTGGCCAGGCGGCGATACCCATCAGCCAAAGGCAGAACGAAAGGTGCCGTGTGGCCAAGTTGTTGTTTTTGTTGTTGTTTCTCACATTAGCTCTAAAAAGAAAGATCGGGTGAATTATTCGGCAGGTATTAATTCGCGCTCACCATGTGTTCAAGTGGCCCCCTCTCGCGTGATCGTCCCGGGGGTATCTAGATGTCCGAGCACTACTGTTAGAGCATGTATGTACACCTCGTAGCAGTGGCCATGTCAGACACGTACGATCTGTCACAACACACATGGTGTGGTAGCGCGGGGGCATTTGAGGTTCGAACTGCTGCTGTATCGTGGTACACAAGAGCAGGCTTGCGGGTTGAATCGCTTTGGTACAGCAGGTACGCACGGAATCCCTTGTAGGCGCGAGTCCTGCACTGGCACGGTGTACGGTGCACGGTGCGTCCCTCTCTAGCCCATGTTTAGCCCCCCCGTCGACCCTGTATTGTAGGTCAGGTCACAGCACACGTGTTCCTCTCGCCAGTAAGACGAGACGACGTGCCAAACAATTTGGTTCCGGACACTGGTCCAATTCAGGCGTCCGGAGGCGGGGCCCCTGCTCTCTTGATTTGTGATCTTTGATGCATGCTAGTTCTTCTTTCAAGGCTTCGAAAATATTTAGAGTTGTGAATCGGTACGAAAAAACGATATATTTTACATCGGCTGCTGCGCAGCCGATATAACGATATTTTCTCCGATATATCGCCGTAGGCGATATATCGGAGAAAATATCGGGCGAGCGCAGCGAGCCGTGATGGGGGCGAGCGAAGCGAGCCCCCCCATCGGCCCCCCCCGGCTGGTGAGGGGGCCTCGCCGGAGGCGCCGCCGGAGGCAGAAAATTTGGTGCATTTTCCCTTCATTTCCCGTCAAAATGGGCCCAAATGCGGCATCAAAAAGGGCTTGACTTCAGCTGCAAACATCGCACGGAATGTAGAAAAAAAAA